TTCGATTTCCAAGTCCTTATATTTGGATAGTTTTTCAGTGACTTTCACGGATGTGTTTCTGTCTGATGGTATTGCCATGTCGATAAATTGACAGGTTNTTGCCTTATTAAGTTAGATACAGTAATATTTCGAACTGTTCTACGATAATCCAGGTACAAAGGATGATCTTCAGGTAAATAGGAACCAAATACTTTCGCAGTAAAGTCAAGACTGTCATCCATAATAATATTCAAATGTGGCAGCACATAGGGATCCACCATTTTCTTAAGCACAATTTTGTCGTCAAAGATCTTCAGGCTCCAATCACCAAGGATTTTTAGGCTTTTAACTCGTTGGCAAAGCTCTGGAAATCCCTTGTAACAGCTGTGTGGTAAAGGCCCCTCATTACATTTTCCAACTGAATGTTCGGGACGTGGTGAAGGCTTGCTGCTTTCATGGCTCTTCTTAGGCAGCTTTGGCAAAGCTCCAAATTTGGGCTTCTTTTTGGTCACTTTCGCTGATTGATCTATCAAAAAAAAGATTAAAATTGTTAAACTTTGAAATAGTCAAACCTAAAACCGTATCCACTTTCAGAACGAACTTCAAACAGCCGCACCAATGATCGGTGAAAACTATTAACTCAAAGCAAATCCAACAATTTAACGAGAAAATACAGACTTGTACTTACATATTTCGATATCTTCAGGCTCAAAATGTTTCTCACAGGTATATATTCTATCGCTCTTCAACTGTTCCCTGTTCATTTCTCTTGTCTTTTTTATCTCACCAAGCCATTTGTCTTGCCATGTTCCATGAACTTCGTCACAGGCAGCTTCCAAATACCAATTCCCTTCGTTCTTCTGTACCAACCACAGCCAAATACTGAGCAATTAGTCCCTGGCATAACTTTTATATTTCTTGCAAAATGACAACCATATACTGATGAAAATTACAGAGAAATCTAACACATCGCACAACTAACAAGAAACTACTCGATGGACGCCATGATGGTTTGAAAAATGTGCGCTGTCGCGATCACGTGACAAGGCAAAAATCAAAACAAAGACATCGGTCTTTGAAGTTCGCCGACTTTCATAACCAGTCTCCTCTACTAACTATGGCCATTATTATCTTAAAATGAAAAAAGCCGAAACAATCTAGTTACCAGTTCGAGAAACGTGAGCAGAACGTGATCGCAATGCATGCCGGGAAGGGTCTTTACACCTCGTGCGCG